ATGAACACGGAGCTGCTGACGAGTCCGTGGCAGTGGTGGGATCCACGTCCTGTGTAACGGGACCAGTGGTGTGTGAGCAGTGTGGACTAGCATTTTCCTCAACGCAGGACTTAGCCATGCATTCCCTGTCAACTCACCGACTGTATGTGTGTCCATGCTGCGGGAAGCACTTCAGCCACTCCAGTAACCTCAACCGCCACATGATCGTCCACCGTGGAGTTTCCAAGCTCCACTGTTGCCCCCTGTGCCACAAGACCTTCACTCAGAAGTCAACACTGTGCGACCACATGAACCTGCACAGTGGGGAGCGGCCGCATGTGTGCGCATACTGCCACGTCAGCTTTGCCCATAAGCCTGCTCTACGCCGGCACCTGAAAGAGCAACATGGAAGGACAACGGCCCAAAACTATCTGGAAATGCAGCGAAACAATGAGGGTGGTGTTGGGGAAGGGGTTTAGATCAGATTTAAATAGTTACTGTTTTAATGAAATCAGAATTAACCCTATTTACTTTCTTAATACACATTTCTAGGCTTATTGTGCACCATTTATAAGTGCACATTAGGTGAAAATGTATGTCTTTGTAATCAGTATGTAATAACTGCATTGTTGTCAATGTGCAGGCCGAACACTGCCAAAGCATTTGAGCCTGGAGAGACTGAATTAATTTATACTCACTCATAGCAACAGTTCACCCAATACTGAAAATTCTATTATTTACTCACCCTCATGTCATTTCAAACCTCTGACTTTTTTCTGAGAAACAGAAAATAAGAAATTTTGTCTGAATAGGTGATAAGTGCTTTTCCACCGTCGGGCCGAACCATTCTTGTTGCTTAACCGTTCCATTTCATGCTGATCTGGCCCAGCCGGTATGGATATGGCTTCATTTTCCACTGTGGGGCTGACAACAGAGCTGGTAATACAAATGTGTCAGTCATTGCCTTGGTACTAAGATGAGATAGGTAGCGACAGGATGAACAGATATTTCCTTTTACTTCACTCAAATAGTGTGCTTGGCCAGCTAGCAACAGAGAAACTAGCAGCCAGAATCAGACAACAAACAAGTGACCCATCCTGAGTGGGGACGTCACTACACTCATTCTACCAACACGGTTCGGCTCAAGTGGAAATCTAACTGTAACCATTCCTTACTGCTCTTAGAACCATTCAACCCGACAGTGGAAAAGCGGTTAATGATGTATAAACCCAGGTGTGCCTCACACGTCCTGAAAAGTGAAGCTGCGGGCTCTTTGATCGCCCCCTGGTGTCTGGCTGCAGTACAGGTCATAAACCCCACCCTCTCCATGTAAACGAATGGGACTTGAGTCAAAATAAAAAATAAATTACACTTCCAATACAATTTTCTGAAAGATGGCTTTGGTCATTTAAGGTAGTTGTTATCACGCTGATATATGTTCAAATGTTCGTTTTTGTGATAAGTTTGGTTTTAGCTAGGAATTTGATGCTATAAAAACATGTCATTATGGTTGATTGGGTCTGCGGGAGTTTGGGCGGAACTTTGATACCGCGGCTCCACCTCACAACACTACTGCACAGACTCTGACTAAACAATCAAATTGCACTTCAAATAATTGTCTTTCTAACAAGTTTGCTTATAATTAGTTATTTGATGCTATAAAAATGGGGTGTGGTGGTGTCATGATTGTGAGCTTGCGATTGGGTCTGCGGGAGTTTGGGCGGGACTTTGATACCGCGGCTCCACCTCACAACACTACTGCACAGACTCTGGTGTTTCTCTATGGAACGATATTCCGGACAATTTTCAAAAGGAATTGCAAATTGTATTTTCAATTGCGTTTTCAATATGTGGACGCATAAATTGTGACACAATCCAAATGCAATTGCAAATCCTGCATTACCGTTTGCACCGGGAGTCTTGTGACTGTCCCATTGACTGCCAAGTAAATTACACTGTCAAGGTCCAGAAAAGTATGAAAAGTATCGTCAGAATAGTCCATCTGCCATCAGTGGTTCAATCTGAATTTTATGAAGCGACGAGAATACTTTTTGTACGCGAAGAGAACAAAAATAACGACTTTATTCAACAATTCGTCTCTTCTGTGTCTCTCTGCATCACCATAGCGCCATTTTGGAGAATATCCACTGAACGCAAGCAGTGTACGCTATTCTGTGTCAGCCGCGAATCACGAAAAATGATTCCGAAATAATGTTTACGGACATGAAAACATAGATGTTATTTTTTGTTTTGGTGTAAATTACTCACTAAACGCTAAACTGCCAATAATGTAAGCCACTGGGAGACTGTAGACAGCTGTGATTTACTGTATTGCATTAATAGAAAGCCAAATAATATAATTTTTCCAAAACTAAGTTTTATTTGTATTTTCGTGCCGTGCCGTGACGGTGAGGGCGAGAACTTATGTGACGTAGCCACGTGCACTTACTAGACTGTCTCATTCTAGCGTTTAATGCTGAGGAGGACTGAACTAGGAAGGACTCGGCCTAGGTAGGATGCAGCCCTTCGTTTGAGAAACACCCTCTGGCTCCAAACGAATCTCTACTGCGCAGACTCTGGCTCCAAATGACGTCATTTACTCAAGATGGCAGCGGCCATACTGAGATGCTTTGGCTTCAAGTGGAGACGGATCGTCCATCTTTTTTTACAGTCTATTTTTAAACCTCAACGTTCTTCAAAACATCTTCATTTGTAAAGATGACAGAATTTCCATTTTTGGATGAACTACCACATAAAAGCACAAATACTACAGTTTTCTGTGTTTCTTTACAGGTTAAAATTCTTTTTACTACAAGTGATAAGACAATAATGTATGCCAAGTGAAGGTCTAGCATATCTATGGCTTGTAAGAGTGATAAACATGTTAATATAAACAAAACAAAATATGTTCATGAATTAGTACTGTGGCGTGATGAGGAAAGTAAGAAAACGTGTTTGTCATTTATGTTGTAGTGCAACTTTAGTGTCTGTATGTTGCTAATTCAACAAAGCCGTATTAAAAAGATTTTGTCCCAACTGTAATTTTCTTGCTGTGAATTAATATTACAATGCCAGCGCATGGCAGCTGAAAACACAAAAAAGCAATTTGGTCAAACAATACACGTGACACGATGGTCAGGACCTTGTAACCCCCCCCCAAAAAAGTAATGTCCTCACAGAAATGACTGGATCTTGACAATCATTTTTAGTTCTTTTTTTGTGTGCTTTGATATTCTTTACACTCATTATCTTTACTGTAAGAATGGTGTATAACATCACATGGGAAAAATATAAAACAAAAAGGATTAGACCTAATATGTATGGAATACAATTAAATCTGATAATGTTACTGTTCTAAAAGGGCATGCCTCTGTATTTTTATCTGGCCAATGCAGGGGTGTGTCAAGAGCATTTAAAATGGGGGGCCCACAGGCTGGAGCACTGCCTCAAAAAAGGGCGGCTGCAGTAAAATCTATTATACACTATTAAGATATATGCTATTGCTATTTTTTCTATAGGTGCATAAAGTAAGATTCCTGTAAAGCTAATGTTTATTTCTTCCTTTGTCTTTTCACATAAACTACAGTATCTAACACTAGTCAGTAATATTCATCATTGATCCTAACAGCCACTTTCAGGTGAACGCTTTCATTGTTTAGGACCAATTCAATATAATTCCAACATTCACAGTCAATTTCACTTATTCTAATGAGTAAAACATTTCAACTAAATCATCCAAGTTAAGAGACTTTACTGTCCTCACCTCAGCGCTTAAGACTCCAGGGTTACCAGATTCCAATCAGTAATTGACTCTGAATGGTCAACCACAGCATTTAGAAGTCAGTTTCCTAATTCCTATGGAAATTTTGTAAATCAGAGTGCTCATCTCTGTAACTGAATAACGGTGCCTTAATAGCCAATCACATTACAGCCTTGACGTCATTGAATTTCAGTCAGAATTGTGTGACACTCAATCGCCGTTTACGGATACCATAGGAATTAATGAGAAATGCCGTAAACTGTATCCCATCTGTCGCAAAAAGTATAAAGACTTTTCCGCTTTATAGTAGCAAGTTAAGTTTTGCTATGCATTCCAATGACAGGGACGCACATTTTGAAGTACAAGACAGTAGCCTATAGGATGTATTTTGAATGTCCGGTAGTCCTCAAATAACATTATAGTCCCAGCTCGCCTTGTTAACGAAGAGGCAGCATAAATTTCGTCATAGTTTTTATCATCAGATATTAGTTTTAGCTGTCAACGTATCGTCTTAGTCACAGAAAAAAATATGTTCGTTAACGAATATTTTTCGTCGTCGTCTTCGTTGACGAAATTAACACTGCTTTTGATTAAATGAGATACTGACACTGTTTTTCATGTTTAATACTGATGCTTGCTTTTAAAGGGGTCATATGATGCTACATGCACTTTAAGACCCTAAAGAATCATATCAACTTGTGGAAAATGGGCATCCTATGACCCCTTTAAGCAATATATTGAATAATGTGCCATGTAAATACACGTGACGTGACTTCACGGGAGTGTTAATTTGCAAATCTCCTGCAAGCATACCCATGTTGCTATGATCAGATGCTTTTTATAAAAAAATGCTTGCTGTTCTCTCCATTTTTGTTGTGTTTATTTTCATTGTTTCACCGCCGGAGCAGATGTAGGCAAGAATGACTCCTAAGTGGAGCAGCATTAACTACACAGAAGAAAAAACACTGAATAGACATTACAAAAAAGTAGCTTTAGAAAGAAATATTTTAATTCAAAATACAAAAAAATAGTGAAATATGAAATTATTTTAAAAAAGAAACAATAGGCCTACTAAAAGCGCCAGTAGGTGGTGGCAAATCCCTGTCTTAATAAGTGAGTCATTCCATTCAGAAACGAAGCAAGTGACTGCCTTTATGAATGGCTCACTGAATCATTGATCAAATAGTAAAAATAAGTTTTTTGTGTGTTTGTTTGTTTTTATTTTTTGTCTTTTTTTCTTTCGTTTTAGGTGTAGTAAATCATGGATGTGGAGGTGGTGAGTTTCCGTTTGCCTGGGCATGGAGACACGGCCCTGAGTAACATGAACTTCCTGCGGACGCAGCAGCACTTCTGTGATGTCACCATCGTGGCGGGAGGCAGGCGCATGTTCAGGGGTCACAAGGTCGTGCTGGCTGCTTGCTCTGCGTTTCTCAGGGACCAGTTTCTCATGAACCCCTCATCAGAGCTACAGGTAAAGCCATTTGTTGCCAGGTTCTTGTGAAATCTTCTGTATGATTGGTGTGATTTTGTTCCATCTTATTTTTTATGCATAAGGTGAAAAATCTGGACAGCCTGAAGAAATAATAATGATGTGTCTTTGCTGCACATCAATTTTTGTGTCATCAATTTCATATTTATCTATCTCTTAAAATCATGCAAAAATGTTGATATACATTTTAATTTAATTATTACGTGACCGTATTGTCTCTTCTTTGTTTAATAGCTGCTGCATGTATTGATTTTTTGGAATAACTTAAATGTTTTTAGATATGGCTTGCTTTTTATTTAAACTAGAAAATGTTAAATAATTTAAAATACAGTTTTAGTAATCGTTCTATTTCTATGAGAATATGGAAGTCCACACCACAGCTGTATTGATAACAACACAGAAATGTATTGTTGCAATCACTTTCAGAGTGATTTTTCTTCTAGCTGATGAACAATAAAAACATTGACAGCCAATTAAATTCCATCCAACTTTAAAGAGTTTGAGCATATAAAGTGGCAGACATTATAGTTATCGTTCTTGGTGCTCATGGACCTTTGGTGTTTGTTATTTGAATTTATGCAATTCTGTTTGGTGTTGCTTTAAAATCAGAGTGTACTTTTGTTAGCAGTAAATTATTTTTTACATGAATGGTGGTTGTTTTGATTCTGTCAACAAATGCCCTCTCTATCCAGCAGGTGTCGATGTTGTACAGCTCAGCGGTGGTATGTGAACTCCTCCAGTCCTGTTACACGGGTATGCTGCAGTTCAGTGCCAAAGAGATTGTGAACTACCTGACTGCAGCCAGCTACCTGCAGATGGAGCATGTGGTGGAGAAATGCAGAGGAGCCCTGAGCCAGTACATGCAGCCGCAGAGTTGCAGCCCAGTTGTGAATGTCTCAACCTCAAACAAGGCTATTCAGACTGTGAAGTCAAAAGACTATCCGTCTATGCCGGTGATTGTCAGTGTAAGTACCCATTCATTGGGCTCTATTTGGGATCTTATACCGCATCACTGCATCCTCACAATTCAGGAAAGGAGCTCCAGGCTGCTGATGCCGAACTCTCCAACATCCCTCACAAAGATGACAGTTATTTGACTATACACCGTGTAAATATTTGTTAGATTTGCTTCAGATACTAATAATGCTCATAGAGACAATGATAATAGATTATATCTAACATCTTAACGTCTTAATCTGGGAGGAACATAGAGAGTTCACAATGGCAGCCCTATCACTGGAGTTCACCAAATGTATATATTGATGGTTGTATTAGTCATACTCGCTGATGATTACTCGAATATGACACATTATCCATGATTACGTCCCAGAAAAATGCAGTGCAATGTTTTCTGTAAACATTTTTGAGTAATCATTGAATTCTTGATCACTGAATTCTCACCAAACTCTCCAAATTGCTGTGTTTGCTTTGACGTTTAAAGGGGTCATATGATGCGATTTCAATTTTTCTTTTGTTTGGCCTTCCAAAAGAGGACGATATCTGCTTTGTCATGCCTGGAGCTGATCCGTGCTGGTTGCTGAGGAAATACTACAACTTCGCGCTGTGGATCGCCGGATCGGCTTTCACCGTGGACGAAGCGGAGTCCAGCCCGGGGTCGTCACATGTGGTTGCCGCAAGCCCTCCGGACGCTCCTTCGTCGAATCCGCTGGCCGCGCCGTTCTCAAGCCCGCCCGCCACTGCTCACTCAAGCCGGCCTCCGCATACTCTAGGCCGCAGCTCACTCTAGGCATCTGGCCTCCGCTCACTCAAGGCGGAGTGTGTGTGACGCTGTTTCGTTGTGAAAGCGAAACTACTTTGTTTGGCCTTCCAAAAGAGGACACGACTAGAAATCAGTGGTTAAGTTGTATTTACAACACTGTTCCAGAACACTTCAACCCAAATATTCAGATGTGTGCAGCACATTTTACGGATTTCAGAAAGGCGGGGCATAGAGGAGAAACAATAATGTACAGTATGCGGAAAATAATGTGTTTTTTGAACCTTAAACCGCATAAACACATTTCATTACACCAAATACACAAAATAATGTTATTTTTAGCAGCATCATATGACCCCTTTAAAAAGAGATGCTGTTAAAATGCCTCATATCGATTACAAACTTTCAAGTTTTGAGACAATGAAGAATCTGGAAATTTGTATAATGCTCTTTTGGAAACTTTTAATTAGAACACTTAGAATCATTGCAATATTCACAATAAGCTCAGTAAAATAACTGCAAATCATGAATATTCAATATATCATCCAACCCTAATGGGTAGTTTCCATTTTGCACCACAGATGATTTGCATTTTACGTAAAGACTCATTGCCAACAGTCATGCATCAAATCGACTTCTGATTTCTCTGTTGTTGTAAATCTCTACCAGTTTGAACACCCCAAAGGATCAGATCAGCTCATATTGTGGTAGTTTGCTCAGTTGTAGTTTACTAATTTATGTTTTTTTCCATAACAGGTAAGAGGATCAGATGCATCTGGACACTTCGAGGGAGAGGATGGGCCTGAGAGTGACATCATTCAGGTGCAGATCAACGATGAACATCAAGACCCCGAGAAGACCTCTGGTGCTGAGGAGGAAGACAGAGAAGCTGTTGTCATGTTAGACGACCACGAACCGCTGGACACAGGTATAGAGGAGCCCAATATGGAGGGGCGAGCTAAAGGCAACGGCCTCAGAGGGGCAGGCCGCATGTGGAGACGACGGCACGGAGAGCACAGGGGAGGCAGAGGAAGAGGCTTAAAACACAGGAAGCGATACATATTCAAGGACCGCAGGTTCTTGGGTAACTATCAGGATTATCAGGAGCACCTTCCGACGCCAGATGAGACCATAAGTAGTTTTGGAGCCGATTTCAAGTCCAATCAGCATTTCACAGATGGTTCTGTCTTAGTTGAGTACAGGCCTGGAGAGGGACAAGGAGAAGAGATCGGCTCTGATGAAGGTCCTGCACACTTCGGTGTGGAAGCTTCCAGTGGGGAAGAGGGAATGGGAGTTGGGACACATACAAATGAGCATGAAGCTGCTGACGAGTCCGTGGCAGTGGTTGGATCCACGTCCAGCGTAACGGGACCAGTGGTGTGTGAGCAGTGTGGACTAGCGCTTTGCTCAACACAGGACTTAGCCATGCATTCCCTGGTGTCACATCGACTGTACATGTGTCCATGCTGCGGGAAGCACTTCAGCCACTTTAATATCCTCAACCGCCACATGATCGTCCACCGTGGAGTTTCCAAGCTCCACTGTTGCCCCCTGTGCCACAAGACCTTCACTCAAAAGTCAACACTGTACGACCACATGAATGTGCACAGTGGGGAGCGGCCGTATGTGTGCGCATACTGCCACGTCAGCTTTGCCCATAAGTCTGCTCTGCGCCGCCACCTGATGGAGCAACACGGAAAGACCATGCCCCAAAACCACATGGAGATGCAGCGAAACAATGAGGGTGGTGTTGGCCTAGGGTTTTAGATCATATATAAATAGGTAAAGTGGGTGTTATAATGAAAATTAAAATTTACCCTATTTATTTTCTTAATACTCTTTTATATTTTTATTTTGCACAGCCATATAAATGTCTTCGAAATCGATATATAATAACTATGCATTTGAGCTCTATAGCCTTGAGAGAATGAATGACCTTTTATTCAGTTATTTATGGATAGTTTGCCCAAAAATGAAAATTCTGTCATGATTTATTCACCCTGTTGTTTCAAACCTGTGACTTTCTCAACTGACTTTCTTCTGTGAAACACAAAATAATATATTTAACTGTTATTGTCCATACAATTAAAATCAATGAGGTCCAAACAATAGTGACTCCACTATTACATATACAGGTAGCTGTTGGGCATTGCTGCATGCTGCGTCTCCGTCAGTGCCTTCGGTCCAGCTGCGGTCTTTCATAGATATTTTGTCCCTTTAATCCCAGGACATCTTTTGGTGGTGGGACAATGGTCAGGAACCTCACCTACCCCCGCAGGTGGACACAGGATCCTTTTTATTGTCTCTCACCTTCACATACAGATATTCTTCCTTTACAGTTCAATGACCTTTCTTCCAAACAACAAAAACAATCATTCTCTCCCCATACTACCTTATTCTTGCTTTTCTCACTCCATTTTTGATCCCTCATTCTTAACCATAGCCAAAAACGTCCATTAATCCCTGATGCCCAACCTCCAGAGGGTAAATGGCAGTCAGTCCCCCATCCATTTTCCTTGCATTCAGCAGCCAGAGCAGTGTTTATTGACTTCTCCCTCTAATGGGCTGTTTCCGTCCACTAATCCCATGGTATGATAAACTCAAACATGATTAGGTTCCTAGTAGGGCTGCACGATAAATCGCGATATTTAACGCGCATCTTGTCAGTAAAGCCATTCTGTAATCAGCGGTAAATCTCCATCACGTGCGGGCTTTCACATGGAGCAGCATTAACTACACAGAGCCGTTGTTCACTGACACTGATTAAAGAACCGGCTTGACTGACAAGATGCGCGTTAAATATCGCATGCGATTTATCGTGCAGCCCTAGTTCCTAGCTGCTTTTGACCATAACACTATGTCCACCCATAAGGTGGTGGTGGCAGTCTCGGATGGAAATTTTAGCCGCTGGCCAAAGTCGACCACCACTGCCCAGTCATTTTCCAGTTGCTAGGATTGATCTAGGTTCCCTCTGGGCAAGACTTGGCAAAGCCCTCCCATTTTCACAAATTCTGTGAACTGCCTTTGTGGGGCAGGGGGGCTTTTGTTTGCCTTTATATGCACCTTAAGGATGTCTGCCAACACATAACCTGATTAAGTCACCATCTACACCATCCCTGCGCCAAGGCGATCTTGCAGCCAGTCAGCATGTGCTGACAGTTCTCCTCTGTACCAAATCACCAAGACACATTACTTGGACTTGATAAGGTGTCATAGGCGGACCTTATTAAAAAACTTAACCTAGCCTAGGGCTCCTATCACATGTCCTCCCAGCTCTGTCAGATGTAACCTCCAACACGCTGCTTCTGGTTTAGCGCTCTAATCAAGATACCCTTCTTCTTCCATCGTAGTTACTTCAGTCACCACTCTCTAGTCCAGGGATCCTCAAATCTGGCCCACGAGATCCACTTTCCTGCAGAGTTTAGCTCTAACCCTAATCAAACACACCTGAGCATGCTAATCAATGTCTTCAGGATCATTAGAAAATCACAGGTAGGTGAGTTTGATCAAGGTTGGAGCTAAACTCTGCAGCGCATTGGCCCTCCAGACCTGCTCTAGTCTCTCTCTATGCTTTGAGTAGGCTGCTCTACCAGCACTGGGATTCTTTCCCCCTCCACAATGAAAAATATCTGGGTCTTCAGGATCACTTGAAAAATCACAGGCCAGGTGAGCTAAAGCAGGTTGGAAATAAACTGACAGTGGGTCCCCAGAGGCTCGTTTCAGAGTGTTAAGGAAACTCTGGGTTTTTCGTTTCAGAATGGGAGGTATGTCAAACCCGAGAAAGCAGTCAAGCCCGTTTCTGAAACTCAGAGTCAGTTACCATGGTAACTTACTCTGTGAACCAAACCTGGTCGGCAGCAGGTTTTCTTCGTTAAACCCAGAGTTTCTTTCTGTCCCTTTTTTGTTTAAATACCTCATTCATTCATGCTGCAAAAAAGAACAAGAACAAACAAGAAAAATAATCTTAATGCAAATGGAAAAAATATTATTTTTCTTACCCCATTGGCAGATAATTTGCAAAATAAGAAAAATGCACTTAAAAGACTAAATACGCATGTCATTTTTCTTATGTAGAAAATTCATCTTGATTTAAGATTCTATATATATTGACTGGAAACAACAAGACAAAAATACTAAGAAAAGCATTTTTTTTTCAGTGCTGGTATTCATTGCACATATTTTCATCATGTGAAAGAAACAAAAATGGCATGTCCTTTTATACAGGAATTATTATTTTTCCTGTCTGCTGAACAGAAATAAAGTTTAGTCGTACCTCCAGAGGCAGGCTCTGAATCCATCGCATCGTTGTCCATTATATCTGTGTCTTCTTCACATTCCTTATCAGAATCAACCATTTGTAGCTTTAAATCCACAAGTTCTTGAGATGAAATGTCATCTTGACCCTGATTAAACGTGTCATCAATAATTGTGTTACTCTCAGTTTTGTCAGGCTGCGTTTGTTTTCCAAAACAAAGCGAATCGGTCTCAGGCACGGACTGCAAGCACACCTGTTCCGGGCTCGTCTCTGCCTGCGGCACAGCGGGAACATGACTCGGCCCAGCCGCCTCCTCAGCAGCCTCCACCAGGCCATCTTTAGAGGCAACCAGCGCCGGTCTCTTGGGCAAGTCACCCGGCGCCGACAACGCCTCGCCCGGCTGGGGTTCTGATACCCCAGCAGCCAAAGCAACATCCGCCCCAGCCGCCCTCTCGCTGTTCTCCGCATCTTGTCGGAAGGAGGGACTTTGTAGAAAACGAAGCGTTTGAGAGAGGCGGGGCATAGAGGACTTACAATAATGTACAGTATTTGAAAAATAATGTGTTTTTTGAACATTAAAGCATGTCAACATATTCTGTTACACCAGATACACAAAATAATGATCTTTAAAAAAGCATCATATGACCCCTTTAATATTCTTCCAATACTTGGTATTGTGGCCATCTCCTCTTCATCTGTTCTTCATTATTCTGCATTTATTCTGTTTATTTATTTTGTTTATTCAAATGTTTATTTCACTACTCTAATTAAGTAATGCAACAGTTTGGATTAGAGAACATTTAATTATGCATGTTATAAAGAGCATTAGACTATGTGGAAAAAGCTGCTGCACATTGAAATCGACACTAATTGATATTTATTTAATATGTCAAATGTTTGTAAAGTCATGTAGCCTACACCCATGAACCTTCTATGCCAGGGGTGGCAAACGTCGGGGGTTACTAGAAAGCTACAGGCAGGTGAGTTTTCATTAGGGTTGGAGCTGAACTCTGCAGGGCTGCGGCTCTCCAGGACCAGAGTTCGCCACCCCTGTTCTATGCTTAAAACTTTACCTGATTGAATTGTTTTTTTTAATATACGTTTAGCTGCTTTTTAAATTATTTTTTTTGCCTGTGGGATACCATGAAAATTAATACTAGTTCAATAATTTACCATTTTGCCAGTTTTTACCTTTGATATTATAACAGTAATTAAGAATTAAAGCTACGTATTGACTAGGAGGTATATATGCAGAGTTGCGGACATCTTTTTGTCGGGTGCTGTTGCCATGGTGAATCATAATTTCCAAGCTCAGAGTTTCCCATCTCAGGGTAAGTCAACTCAGAGTTGGTTGAACCTCCTTATTGAAACGGGCCCCAAGGTTGAAGACCTCGGTCCTAATAAATTCTAAATTAGTACATAAAGCAGCTTTGGTGAATAGCCAACAGGCTGGTGTGAAACTGACCCATAGGCATTTGCCAAGTCTAGCCAGAATACTTGGAGGTCTTTCTTGATCTTCTTGGCAGTCTAGATCTGCTCCCATATCATCAAAGCATGTTCCACACACCCAGGAAATCCTGGGACAGCTGCCTTCTGGCAGCTTGTGTCTATGTACCCACCTCCTCCAGACATCCTAGCCAGACATTCTCCTTGCTGTCACCGAAATGAAAATCTTCCCCTAAACATTCAATATTTGAAATTGAGTGATGTTAGTGGATTCCTGTTCCTTAGATACAAAGCCACCACCCTCCATAGGTCACAACTCCTTTTTTCTTCCAGTATTTTCTTCCAGTATGTCTGGCAAACTAAACAACTCCCTCTTGTGCTCCCTCCTTTTCTCCGCTCTTGGCATTCTCACTGGTCTCCTCACTGCTGCTAACATACCCTTATTCCCATATCCCATAATACCTTCAGACTCTTCTCCTCTTGCTCGTCTGCTTGCAAGCTTCGTAAGTATGTTAGGTTACACAAATCCTGATCTAGCCACTGATTTACACTGTATGGACAAAAAAAGACACTGAGACACTTGGGCAGCTTTTTGTAGTCACAGCTTTTACATACTTGAATGAGCAAATGGGAAAGAGCAAAATCAGCCTAAAAACACTATTTACTAGTATTTTACACTATTATTACTTGTCAGATTAATGCTTATGCCCCTTGTCCATATAAGATACATATCAGACAGTGCATGTACCCATTGGCTCTTGTAAATGAAAACTTAGACTTTGTTTCTTAATGCTGAAATATTGTGTTGCAGTTTCTCTCACATTTTTTTACAAAAAATGTTTGTTTTGATATTTTTCCCCATAGTCAATCATATTCATATGAGTAATGTTGTATATCTCACTGGAGAGAGAAAAAAAGGAAAATTCTAAAACTATTGTGTTTCCCAATAAATCTGATATAATGTTACTCTTTTTAGTATGCAGAGAGTTTATATAACAGGGCATGTCTCTGCATTTGTGTTCTCAGTGTTCTGTTTCCCTTTAGGCAAAAATAGCACTGGAAGGTCTGAACTAGAGCTCATTTCATCAATACCATCTAATGTTGTGGATTGTTGCGGGGGTAAACTTGTTCCACACAGCTGAGGTCTGCAGTAAATCAGTTATTATTCATACTCAAATACAGAATACATCTATACAAAGCTCAGATTTGCTTGATATCACCTCTAAAAACTCAAAAACTGGCTTACAGTTTCTGCCTGTCAAACTCTGAAGATGTTTCACTGAGGTAATGTTTTTTTAGTTTGCCCATATTATGAAGTCAACCCAGGCATGCTGATGGAAAAGTTTATTGATTATTTACTGAAATCCATGACTGAGTTAAATGTCCAGATACACTGAGCAGTAAAAATGCTCAAATGCTGTGCTAATTAAAATGACAGAAAAGTAACAGATTTACTTCATCACTTCTTTAAAAAAAAACAAATTTTTTTCTGTATGTAGACAAAATCTAATGCTGGATCATTTTATAAGTTTAACATATGCTAAATAACTGTTTTCAAAGGAAGTCTTCACTGTAGACGACCTGGCTCCGTTTGTCTCTGTACGAACCCTTGGCACTGTTCTGCACAGCTGTGAAAGATAAGACACAGAAATAGAAATGGGTTAGTCAAGTGTGCAACACTCACAGTTGTTTTCCTGTGAAATGTCTTTATTTACCAAGAGAAGCCCAGACAGATTTCCCTGTGGCAGCATCGAGCATGGGCTGCTTCCTGGCAATGCTGACTTTGATGTTGACGTCACCAACAGTAGCGCCATTCAGCTGAGACACAGAAAGAGTGGAAAAACAGAGGGCTTTCTTTCAGTAAATAAATAAAGATGTGTTAAATCCTAACATCTTTAAAGGCGTCCTATCACAGAAAACAAGATTTTCAAGATGAGCCTGAATATACACAATATAAAAACTCTACAGTCCACACCAGACTATTTATGGATGCTAAGCTGCAAAACATCAGAAATCAACATGATATTGATGTCCCAACCATGAGCTCATTAACACAGGACCACTAGAGCTTGCATGACTGTCCATAAAAGTAGTCGGTGGGTTCCTCAGATCACTTGTGTGGTTGGCTTTTAGAGTACCAAAACTATTTATAATAGCTGAAATAATATAAAATAAAACCAATACTAAAATTAAAACAAACTGAAATAATTAAGTTGAAGTGCTAGAATTACTAAAACTGAAATAAAACATATTCAAAACTAATTAAAATGACAAAAGCACATAACCGTTCTAAATATTAATGATATTGATGTCCCAACCATGAGCTCATTAACACAGGACCACTAGAGCTTGCATGACTGTCCATAAAAGTAGTCGGTGGGTTCCTCAGATCACTTGTGTGGTTGGCTTTTAGAGTACCAAAACTATTTATAATAGCTGAAATAATATAAAATAAAACCAATACTAAAATTAAAACAAACTGAAATAATTAAGTTGAAGTGCTAGAATTACTAAAACTGACATAAAACATATTCAAAACTAATTAAAATGACAAAAGCACATAACCGTTCTAAATATTCAAGTAAAATGAAAACCGAAAATATAAAAAAGTAATTTCATAAATTTATATATTAGATTAAATCATAATCATATAGAATATTTCACAATATTGGCACATAAATAATACCTAAATAACACTGATATACTTTATGAATGTATATGTTTTGCATAAATCCTGTTACTGTACAAGTTAATATTGCACAAGGACAACATTTGGATAGACAAAATATTCTGCTGCTATGGCCTTGTATATGACAAGTATAGAATCAAGTATGGATCACCACTAGTCCTTATTCACCACTTACGATTATATATGCATGCCTGACAAATGACATAATTACATGTAAAGTGAAGCCTGTCAAAACTGAGGTCATTTATATATGGAATTCTTAAAGGCACAGCAGCAAAAACAACCTGTTGAATTGAGGGCCAGAGAGGAAGTATAAAAGTATGAAAATATTATGATACAAAAGTGTGTAAAGTGAATGTACTACTGACCTCTGCCACAGCCTGGTCTGCTGATTCAATCTTCTCAAAGGTGACAAAGGCACAACTAGTAAGAAACAGAAGGCAAAAATGGGTTAAATAATTTGTTTTTTTCTCAGACATTTCTCAGTTCAACAAAGATTTAAAAAATACTTTTATTTCGCAAGGATGCATTAAATTGATCAAAAGTGACAGTAAAGACATTTATAATGTTACAAGAGATTTATATTTTGCAAAAAATATATCACAGTATAACTGTTATCAACATGGATAATAATAAGAAATGTTTCTTGAGCATAAAATCCTTCATCAGAAAACAGTCTTACTGGCGTGGTGAGTCCATTGAAAGGTCGATGATGTTGCCATGCTGTGCGAAGGCCGAGCGCAAATTGTCTTCCACTAAACCTGTGCCGTATACATACACAGTGTTTCCTTTGCGCACACCTCTGCGCTCTGGATACGAGTCTGACCCTGAACAACAATAGAGACGATTAGTAGACGGTCAGAATTTCAACAGAACAAAGCTTATTATGATTAACTATTAGAAAAAGCATATGCATGAAATATTCTCAGTTCTTAAAGGGGTCATAGGATGCTACATGCACTTTTACAAGTTGTTTGAACTGAAATGTGTGTTAGCAGTGTGTGTACACAACCACCCTAAAGGGTCAGCAGAGCTCATTAACGTTTAAAGGAAAATGCTACAAAAACGGCTTGATCTGAAAAGAGCTGTTTTTGACAGGGTAAAAAAGGTGTTTTTTACACTACCATTGAGACATTTTTTTTTTAAAGATTTTATTTTTGGCGTTTTATGCCTTTTATTTAGATAGGACAGTAGGTCGACAGGAAGTGAAGTGGGTGAGAGAGAGGGGGGGTGGGATCGGGAAAGGTCCACGAGCCGGGACTCAAACTCGGGACGCCCGAAGCGCAAAGGCGCTACATGTCGGCGCGCTGCCCACGAGGCCATCGCCGCCGACCCATTGAGAAATTTTAACCAAACTATGTTACAGACTTTTCATTAAGACCCTAAAGAATCATATCAACTTGTGGAAAATGGGCATCCGTTGACCCCTTTAACCAACACTGTAATGACACAATATGGACACTGAATGGAAGTCATTTATTTTTGCACAGATTCACTTACGTCTGTAGGGTCCGTCCCGCTCTCGGTCTCTTTCTCTGTCTCGATCTCTGTCCCTGTCTCTGTCCCTTTCACTATCCCGGCTCCTGTCCCGTTCACGTTCACGGTCCCGTTCTCTCTCCTTGTCTCTTTCACGGTCCCTCTCTTTGTCTCTTTCTCGATCTCTCTCCCAGTCCATCTCTCTTTCCCGATCGCGCTCAGAATCTCGACTCGACATTCCTCCCTCATCGTCACGAGATCGATCTCCAGGAACAAAACTATAGGACAGAAAGAACAGCCTTAATGTTTCCTGCAATACTTTTTCTATGAAGGTATTAGATTACGAGTATTATTCTGAGTCTGAAGGTCTCACCTCTCATACAGGGATTTCCTGTGGATTCGTTTAGCAGACTACAGCAAGAAGAAACAACATGATGTAAAGTCAAGTCTACTGACACTATTTAATATACTTAACAGATTTAGCTATTTACATATATTCATACATACAATCACACTTTTGACACAACCGATCAAAAGTAGTTTTTTTATGTTTTGAAAGAAGTTTCTTATGCTCACCAAGGCTGCAAATTACAATAAAAATAGTAATATTGTGAACAATGTGTTATTGTGTTATAATGTTTAAAAAAAATATCAGCATATTAGAATGATTTCTGAAGGATCATGTGACACTGAAGACGAGTAATGATGCTGAAAATTAAGCTTTGCATCAGGAATAAATTACATTTTAAAATATTTTCAAATAGAAAGCAGTTATTTTAAGTTATAATAATATTTCAAAATATTACTGTTTTACTGTATTTTTGATCAAATAAATGCAGCCTTGACTGGATCATTTGTACAGTGTAAAACCGCATTACATCAGGAGGCTCCTCATCTGTAGAGACGCTCCTTTGAAATGGCAGGAATGCTGGGGCAGAACCTTTCTCAGGATCCTGAGAAACAAAGAAAATCCTTTGTATTTGTAGCTTTGTACAAAAAAACAAATACATTTTATGTTGACTCGCCATTAATGGGGTGAAAAACGTCTCTTACTTTAAGTTTACCCTCAAGTGTTCTGGAGCGCTTGAAGCCCGAGTTCTTGTTCTCTGATTTGATGGCGCTGATCGCTCCGGACTTGATCAGCATTTTGGCCTGCTCCGTTGCGGTCGCTGTGTCCACCACCGGCTGATCTGACAGAGCTTAACAGAGGCAATCAGAGAGATCATTCATAGATCACAGATTTCATGCAAACTTATTTCAGGAGCATCTGGAAAGTTTAGTGATCCATAAATTGACTTACTGCGCTTCAGTCCTATCTGACCCGTCTGATTGGTGGAGCTCTGTTTCTTCAGAGCCATTAGGGCCTTTTTCTACATGACAGAAGTGAAGGCAGACAATACTGTATGTCAAAAAGATATATATATATATATATATATACGTATGTGTGCATTTTTGCCTTTGGCGTCTCAACACCCCACTCCTGGTATCAAGTTTGGGCCTAATGGTTAGAGAGTCGGACTCATAAGCCAAAGGTTGCAGGTTCGAGTCTCGTACCGGCAGGAATTGTAGGTGGGGGGGAGTGAATGTACAGCGCTCTCTTCCACCCTCAATACCACGACTGAGGTGCCCTTGAGCAAGGCACCGAACCCCCAACTGCTCCCCGGGCGCCGCAGCAAAAATGGCTGCCCACTGCTCCGGGTGTGTGTTCACGGTGTGTGTGTGTTCACTGCTGTGTGTGTGCACTTTGGATGGGATAAATGCAGAGCACTAATTCCAAGTATGGGTCACCATACTTGGCCACATGTCACGTCACTTCACTTCACTTCACTTCAAGTTTGGGCTTAAAATACAATATACACTGGGTATAGAAAAGAATCAGTTGCACTGAGTAAATACAGCTGGATAAAACAAAAACGGTGTCCGTCTTCATTTCAGGCTACAAAGCAACAGTCAGCATGACTGAATCAACATTGAACTGATTTGAGCTGAATAATGAGATGTCTTCTGTAGAGTTAGTTGATTTACAGCTCAAACTTTTTTTTATAATTTATACATTTCGGAATATGAATATTATTTTGCTGTTTATTATTTTATCTGTATTGTATAAAGCGTGTACATTTATTGTACAGATTTAAATATGACTTGACTTTTTTTGATACTATTATTTTGTGAATGTGCTTTTCACGGTTCCAAAATGTAGCCTTAGAAAACACATAATCAGAACCGTAACTACATTTTTCACCTTTTTCTTTAATTTAGCATATTTCTTCTGCAGTGCTTCCTCCTCCTCTGTCAGTGAACTGGGAAATATCGCCATTTTGGTTGATCTTTAGGAAGAAAAAAAAAAACCCAACAGCAATATGTTTGAGCAGATGTCTTATATATTTTCCAATCAATGCATCACCATATTAACGTTATCGATATTTCCGCTAAAGATGGCTTTTAACAATTTTCATTTTTCTTTAAAAAAAAAAAAAAAAGAACAGACTGCATAAAAGACGGTGCTTTATATTAAATTACCTTAAATTCAGAAAATGAGAATACGCGTCTGCAGTACTTCCTCGCTCGGCGCACAATTATGACGTCATTTGTTGTCATCCGCGGAAGCAGCTCAAACTAAATAGTTTGCCCACAGTTATTCTTTTTTGTTTTACGGTGTATTTAAAGTACATTAAAACGTACATCTATTTTAGGTCACACACAGACCATTATGTTGTATAGTAGTAAACAAAAATACTAATAAAAACCTTCCGTCCCTTTAGTTCTGCGCAGCTTCCTGCAGGACTGAAACTTTACTGATACTGGAGAACTGCAGAGTGACATGGACAAAACAGGTATGAAAAAAAATAGCAGTATTTTTTATTCGCAATGTGTAATCTGCGTGCTTACCTGGTGTGGTATAATAATATCATCAGCAGCCAGTTGAGGATTTAGCTGCTTTGTGTCGTAAATCGCTCCTATGACAGCCAGCTCAGCTACATCTCACATGAATGATCCAGTGGGTTTCATGAGCTTTCTGGCCTGTAGTTGCAGTGGTACTGATGAACTGCTGTTTTCTTCTGCGTGTAGATTTGCCCCCAGTGGGTCCTGATGATTTGCCCCTGTCTCTGCTGGAGATGGGCTGCTCGGGGAGACTTGAGCTCATCACACACCCACTGCCCAAAAACAGACCCCTGCCTCCACACAGCACAGTTAGTCTTTTAATAATACTAAAACAATAATGGTATTCATTTGTGTATGCTAATTTTGTATTTATATTCTTGAATCTTTTTCTTTTTCAGCTTCCCCATGGGCTCCCTCCTACTTGTCTAGATCTAAAAACAGAGGTAGAAAAGCGTTTTCTGCGAGACCCTGCTTGGCTCCCGGTACACGGTGTAGATGATGCCTTCCACAAGTTCCTTAAGTATGAAATGAGACACATTCAGAAGATAGTGATTGTCTTTGCAATAGATGGGCCTATCCTATCTTTACTCAGTTTTGTCAATTACAAATTTGTCCTTTAGGATAAGTAAGCGCAACAAAGAGGTGGACTCTCTCCTGCACTGCTCACTGTCTCCACTGCACTCGGGTCTGTCTGTGGTCAGAGATCCCACCACCGGTATGCTGCTGGACTTCACTGAGGTAACGCTGGAAAACATTTACTGCGTTCTGTTTGCCGATCTTAAAGTTTGTTTTCGTATTCCATTTTAATCTTCAAAGATAGATTTAGTATTGTTATTGTTACCTAAAACCAAAGCTATTAAAATCATTTTCGTTAATCAAAAAAGAGGCTCACAACTTAGGTGTAGTTTTTGACTCAGAACTGTCCTTTGATGTTCAGGCGACTAAAGTGGTGCAGTCTTGTTTTGCGCAACTGAGGCAACTAACGAAGATAAAGTCATTCCTTTCTTTGGCAGATTTGGAAAAGGTCATTCATGCTTTTATTTCTTCCAGACTTGATTATTGTAATGCACTTTATTCTGGTATTAGCAAGAGAAATCTCCAAAGATTGCAGCTGATTCAAAATGCTGCTGCAAGGCTTTTAACACGTACTAAGAAAAGTGACCACATTACACCGATTCTTACTGCTCTTCACTGGTTGCCTGTGAGTTTTAGAATTGATTTTAAGATTTTGTTGCTTGTTTTTAAGGCCTTGAAGGGTCAGGCTCCTGCCTATATTTGTGATTTATTAATTCCTTATGAGCCTGATCGCTGCTTGAGATCCTCCAGTAGGGCCCTATTAATGGTTCCAAAATCTCGACTTGTTACCAAAGGTGACCGCGCTTTTGCTATCTGTGCGCCTAAACTATGGAACGCCCTGCCTGGGGATATTAGGCAGGGTCCTACTGTATCCTCTTTTAAGTCTCTTCTTAAGACTCATTTTTATCGTATGACTTTTTCTTAATTTTGATGGTAATTTTTGCATTTTGTTACTGTACTGATCTTTTTATTGTAAAGCACTTTGTAACTTTGTTGTGAAAGGTGCTATATAAATAAATGTTTACTTACTTTGGAAACAATCATTATTTTTTTGGTTCAGTTTCTGCCAATAGTGTTGCCTAAATGATGCTCTTCATCTTTAAATTAAAATTCATTTTTTTACTGTGTGCAAGGAAACCACAGTAAATGTTCTTTATAATATAATGTAATTTTTATAATGTATATAACATTGTTTTTTCTTTATGTCAGGTGTTATTAGAGGACACAGGATTGTCTGCCAAAAATTCTCTCTCGTTACAAAGACAGCCTGGACCTCCGTCAGAGAGTCTGAGAGGGAGTAACACAAACTATCCATTTCTGCCAGGTTCAGTAGTTCATATTTAGATCAACTTCTCATAATTGTGTTTAAAAATGATCCAGTTTTTAAACTCTTCTGTCCTCGTACAGCTGGAATGGAAGAACTGACGTTAGAGCAGATTAAGAAAAAGTCAGAGCTGGAAGAAGACATTGACTTTGAGGAAGGTTAGTGGTCTGTTTCGTTTTGTCAGTTAGCAATCATTTGTGAGTGTGTGGGAGATAAAAAGAAACCGTGACAGTTTGTTTCTTGACTTAGATTTGTTGACGGTTCCTCCTGGGCTGAAGGCTGGTATGGAGTTCAGTGACAAAGGTCTGATTTCAGTATTGCTCTCTGCATGTATAACTTGTCATCATCCCTCTTTAGGTTGTGCATTATTATCCAAAAAATAAAAAAATCTGTCATAGTTTTCTCACCCTCATGTCGTTCCAAACATGTATGACTTACTTTCTTCAGCAGAACACACAAGAAGATATTTTAAAGAATGTTGGTGCCCATTGACTTATGGACAAAAAACACACTTAGACTTTTCTAAATAATTTATTTTATGTTCTGCTGAAGAAAGAAAATCATACAGGTTTGGAGCGACATGAGGATGAGTAAATGATGACAGATTTTTCATTTTTGAAATGGATTTTTCATTCTCTTTAATGCCTTTAGAAGCCAAAACCACGAAGAGTGAGTTGAACCTGTTGTCACTACTGTCGACCTTTGATGATGTCATCGATGCTCTGCCAGAGGAGAAAGAGGGAGTCTCCCAAAAAGAGGAGACCGTTAAACTTCCCAGAACTAACAGCCTGGAGGACCTGGGAATTAAAGTGTGTATAACTTTTAGACAGAAATCTTATGCATTTGATTACCTGACATTTCTGTATTTGTTTTGACGTTATGTTCTTCTTAAACAAATGTACTCTTCAGGATTCAGGCAACTCTCCTTCTCAGCCTTCAGCGAACACAGTAAGTCTGACTGAACAAAAGAAGAAACCTCAGCAAGAAGACAAGGGAGACAATAAAAAATGGGCTGTTCCTGTGGACATCACCTCACCCTGTGACGACTTCTACAAGCGTATCCCTGATCCAGCCTTCAAGGTCAGAACTCACTATTTGTTCATCATTTGGTTTAATAGCAAAGCTGCTGTTATGCACATGGTTTTTGTTAGTTTGCTATAATAAAGGGTTGTTTGTTTTTTTTCTTTATTCCTGCCCCGTCTCAGTATCCCTTCGAGCTGGACGTGTTTCAGAAGCAGGCTATTCTCCGACTTGAAGCTCATGACTCCGTCTTTGTCGCGGCTCACACCTCAGCCGGCAAGACCGTGGTGGCTGAATACGCAATTGCACTTTCCCAGAAACACATGACCAGGTCTTTACTTTTTAATACACTACCGTTCAAAAGATTGGGATCAGTTGGGATTGGTTAACGGAAGTCTTTTACGTTAACCAAGGATGCATTTATTTGATCAAAAATACTGTAAAAACTGTAATATTGTGAAATATTATTACAATTCAAAAGAGCTGATTTCTATTTGAATATATGTTAAAATGTAATTTATTGCTGTGATCAAAGCTGAATTTTCAGCATTGTTCCTCCAGTCTTCAGTGTCACATGATCCTTCAGAAATCATTCTAATATGCTGATCTGCTGCTCAAGAAACATTTCTTATTATTATCAATGATGAAGTTGTGCTGCTTAATATGTTTGTGGAAACCGTGAAAATAACATTTATTTAACATTATTAATGTCTTACTGCAGGTTTTTTTTTTTATATAGTTGAACTAAAACTAAAACCATAAAAAAAATTGTTACTTGAAAAAAAAAAAAAGGTTAACCAAACTAAAACAAAAATGATTTATTATTTTATTATTTTATTTCAGCTAGTTGCCCTGGTAGCATTTCTCATAGTTTGACTTTAGTTTATCTTGAAGTATTAAAGTAACTACAACTACTAATACTAATTAATAAAAGCTATATGAAAACATTTTAAACAAAAAAAAAAAACAGCAAATTACTAAAACTTTAACTAAAATTAAAGTGAAAACAAAAAGTATGAAAATAAATTAAAAAAAATATTAAATTCAAACTAGCAACAAAAAATATAATAGTATATCAGTGATAGAAAAATAACTGCGTTGCTGTCACTTTAAAAATAAAATAAAATACATGCTTGCTGAATAAAAAAAATTTCAAATCATACCTACAAACTTTTAAATAGTAGGTATTTGAAAAAAAAAATTATTTGCAGAGTTGGTTTTTTTTTTTAAACCACGTTAAAAGTACTTGTAAATAAAGCACTTTAATTCCCATTGTGTATGAAATGTGCTAAATAAGTAAACATATCTTGTCTTACTGTAACAGTAGATGAATGGCTCATGCCAATATCACTGTTCCTCTTGACAGGACCATTTACACATCCCCCATCAAGGCCTTGTCCAATCAGAAGTTCCGGGACTTCAAGGCCACATTCGGTGACGTGGGACTGTTGACTGGAGATGTCCAACTGAGCCCTGAAGCCTCGTGTCTCATCATGACCACTGAGATCTTGAGGTGATTATCCAATAGCAGGCCTTCATGTCAGTTACTTATAATTCATAGTTAGTCACGTGCATGATTTTTTTTTTACAGTCTTTGTAAATCAGTATGTCTTCCTCCTAACAGATCTATGCTCTATAATGGGTCCGAGGTCATTCGAGATCTGGAATGGGTAATTTTTGATGAGGTTCACTATATCAATGATGCAGAGGTGATGAATTCAGTTCAAAAATCTAATTCAGTTATGCTTTTGTCTTTATTGCATTCAGATCTCATATGATTTTGTTGTTTCTCAGAGGGGAGTGGTG